AGCCACAGCCCGTGAAGAAAATCTTTTAGATAACTTGCAATAAACTGCATTGAGACCAATCAACAGAGACTGCTGAGTTTTCTTTGGAAGCTCAGGCTGGAGGAGAGACTTTTCCACCACACAGAACCCCTGAACCGGGCTGGGGGTTCTGGCACATCCCACACCTGTAACCCTCCCCTGAAGCATCAGGTGTCTGTGACCCCATTGGCCTAAATCTTGTTCCAGCCCACCCTGAAGCCCCCTGATAAGGGGTCCCTGAGGAGCCAGAAGCTCTCTTGGAACCTCCACCCTCTTGGAATGTCCACCCTCTCCTGGAGCATCCTCTTATCTCCCTCTCCCCCTTGTCTCTCCCTTCCCCCACACCCTAGGGCCTGCCAGGGGTCAGGTCTGGCAGCTCCAAGCAGGATCTTTCACCCTCTATAATAAACTTTATATTCTACGAGCAGCCTTCAGAGATCTCTCATCTCCATCCACCCAAACCATCCTGGAGCACAACATCCCCACACCCCGGCTCACACCCAATGTTTGGGTAATTCCCAGATGTTTCTAAACCCCCACAACGGACCACAAATAAACTGGGATCATCTAAAGCGGGTTTAGCTCATGGATGTGACATTTTGTGGGGTCTTTCATCAGAACCTTACATGAAAAATGTCAAAAGTAACGCCCAGCACCTGTCCGGGGCAGCCATGGTGTGACAGTGGCTCCTGCCCTGCCCCAGATCTGGAGTTAATTACACCCTCAGCAGCACAAAGTGACGCAAGAGAATTTAGTGCTGGGCTTGGCTCCACCCAGCCTCCCCTATGGAGATTAGGATTTTACATAATCTCTGATGTATACTTCAGTGCTGGCCCTGATCCCTCCCAGAGGGTCCTGCAGCACATCCCTGTCCTCAGCAAACCTTGCTAATCCCAGCAAACCCCCTCCAGCCCTGGGATTTGGGAGGGAAAGTGACATTTTAATAATGTTCACGTGGCAAAAAAATACAGCAAAGTGCACACGTGGGCATTATATCCACAGCTGTGAACTGGAAACAGGGGAGAAGTAATCACCAGTTATCCCTCCCTGATTTGCATCTCTGTGTTCAATTCCATTCCTGGCACCAAGCTGAAAAAACGCACCTGAACTGACTCATCTCCAGCCTTGAGGTTGGCACAACACACACCCTTCATCAATTCTTTATTTTTTCACTTTTCAGCCTTTTTGAAGTTATCCTTGGCAGCAAGGGCCAACAAAAGCTGCTGGAATATACAGAAAGGCTTTGTCCCCTGTCCCTCTCCAGCTCTCCTGGAGCTCCCTGGAGACCCTGAAGGGGCTCTGAGCTCTCCCTGGGTTTTCCTGGGTCCAGGTGAGCATTCCCAGCTCTCCCAGTCCTTAGGAAAGGCAGAGCTGCTGACACAGAGCTGCAGCCCCAGCAACACAAGGGACATTTGTTCTGCTGGGTCAGGAGGGGGGACCCAAGTGGCCACTGTGCAGCAGCCCAGGCCTGCTGCCTTCCATGGGGTGGCAGAACACAGATCCTCTTGTTCCCCAAAAAACAAAGGCTCCTACTCCTTGAACTCCAGCAAATTCAGTGTCAGCACTGCAGGGCCAGCACATACCTACAGGCTCCAGCCTCACATTCCTTGGGAACAATGGTGTCCCACTGCTAAGTGGTGTTTCTGTCCTTGCAGGCAAGTCTATGATGGAAAATAATTCAGTTCAAGCTCTTCTTTTTCATTCTCTGAACAATGAAAGGTCAGGCTTGCAGGCAGACCACACTTCAGGCAGCAGCTGCAGCTCTTGGTGGATTAGATAAAGGCCCTGAATCACAGCTTGGAAATGCAGAGGTGAAAAGTTTTGGAGCTCTCCACCCCCTGTGTGGGGTCACAGTTGAATGGATTATGTCAGTAAAAAAAAAAACAAAACAGTTTCTGTTTAAATGAAAGAGGCTTATCAAAAAGGTTTCTTTCAGAGTTCCTGGCTATTTTAAGACAAACCATCATCCAGATGTGCACACAGCTGGCTGCATTACCCTGTAGGAGCACCAGCCAGGGAAGGCATTTCCAGAAGTTTCATCCTTGCACTTCCTTCAAGGAACAAATGGGGCTCAGACAGACACAGCCAATTTTTCAGGCACATCCTCCTTTAACTCACAATTGAGCTGATGGCTTTAGGTCATCGAGCCTCATGGTGCAGTGATCCATTTTTAATCATCTTCTTCTGAAAATGTCATTTAGCATCAGAAGGAAAAACAATATTTACATTTCCCAACAAGCTGCATCATGAGCACAGAGTGACTGAGGCTGGAAAAGTCCTCTGGGTCCCCAGCACTGCCAAGGCCACCACCAACCCATGTCCCCAAGTGCCACCTCCACAGGGATTTTAAATCCCTTCACCAATGGGGACTCCACCATGGCCCTGGGCAGCTGTGCCAGGGCTGGACAGACTTTTTGGGGAAGGAATTTTCCCAATTTCCAGCCCCTGGCACAGCTGGAAGCTGTTTCCCCTTGTCCTGTCCCTGCTCCCCGTGGCCAGAGCTGCACTCCATGGAAGAGCTGCCATAAAATATGTGGCATGTGGGGGGCTTGTGGCACTGACAGTGCTGCTAATTCAGGTCTGCACAGGAACTAGGACACTGGAGTGATCTACTTTCTGGGGAAAAATAATAATGAGGCTACGCAGCCTTATCAGCAGGACATTTCCCTGCCCATATTTAGCCAAATAGGGGATGTAGAAATGATGTATAAAAATAAACCAGTGTACCTAAGAAAAGGCTGTATTTTAAATACAGCACTGGTGTCCCAGACATGCAGGAGCACCTGGCACAGACTGCAGGGATCCCTCCTCAGCCCAGGTGGGCTCCAAAAATTCCTCCTTTTCCCTCTCTGGTGTTACAGCAGCCAGATTCTCCGATTCCCAGATTCCCAGGGCCTGCCTGCTAACTAAAGCAAGAGGAAAATGAGGATATTGCAGGGGTTGTGCCCAAGGGTAGAGAGCAAATCCTGGAGCATATTCATGTGTTGAGCAGCTTAGAGAGACAGATGCTTCCTACCCCATTTCCATTCATATAGAACAGAGCTGGCTGGGAAACATTAAAGAATCCTCAGCAATCCCCTGCCTCCACAGCTCTGGAAATCAGACATTAACAGAGCACAGGGAAGAGGAGTTCTGGCATTAACCTTGGGATGAAAGAGAAAAACTGAGGAGTGACAGAGATTTCTGAAGGTAGAAGTTTAAGAATACACTGAAATTCCTTCCTGGAAAGGGGGGTCAGGCTCTAGAACTGCCCAGGGAGGTTTGGAGTCCCATCTCTGGAGGTGTCCAAGGAACACCCAGAGGTGGCACTCAGAGCTCTGGGCTGGGCACAAGGTGGGGATGGGGCACAGCTGGGACTCAGTGGGCTGGGAGGGCTTTTCCAGCCCCAGGGATTGTGAATCATTCTTCAGCTCTTGTGGCTGTGGGTGACACCAACCTGACTCCAGGTCTGTATCCAGAACAGCCTCCAAGGCAGCCCAGCCCTCCCTGCCAACAGCAAAGGAGGGGTTTGCTCCAAGGAAAGGTGTGGAAGGAGCAGGAACAGCCCTGCCAGTGCCACAGGGACAGCTGCACCATGGAGAAGGGGTTTCCTGCAGCCACACATTCCAGGCAGCCTTCAAATCACCCCACAGCAAATCCATCCTGTTCCTTGAACTCACAGGTTATTTTTGCACAGGAGGGTTGTTTAGCTCTCTCCTGTTCCAGGCACAGCTCATCTGTTACACTCAGGGTTTGCTCCATCTGCTCTTCCCCACGCTCAGAATCTCTGTGTACTCACTGAGTAACCTGTTTGTAGGGATAAATAAAATCCATCTCTCCTCAGCTAATCTCAAAGATTCAGCAGGGTTATTTTAACCCCTCAGCCACATCACAGACCCTCCAGCCTGGTGTCTTGTTCCAAAGAGTTCCAACTCTTCACTGGATTTTAATCCCAGCTGCCCCATCCCTGGAAGTGTCCCAGCCTGGTTTGGGTTGGGAAGGACCTCAAATCCATGGCAGGGACACCTTCCACTGTCCCAGGGTGCTGCCAGCCCTGTCCAGCCTGGCCTTGGACACTGCCAGGCATCAGGAGCATCAACAACTTCTCA